GCCGTGCCCCCTGCCCGGATCCTCGCGCTCCCCCCACCCCCACCTCCGGGCTCCCTGCCCTCCGCCCTCGCCCTCGGAGGGGCCGGGTCCGCTGTGAGAAGTGCTAACGGAGTTGGCAGGGCCGGGACCCCGAGAGGCACCTGCGGCCCCCGCTGCTGCTCTGGAGGCCCCTGGCGCGCCTGCAACCGAAACCGCAAGGACAAGTGTGTATTTTATGACAGTTATTGATCAAGTTCTCAATGACGTGAGATTCCTATTAAATCGATGAAAGAGTGTGTGCTCAATAACGTGGAATTCAACTGATAACACGTAAGGGCCCTGTGCTTGTTAAAATAAAATGAACACTGGAAACGGAAAACGCCAAAATTCTACCTTTTCTCCCATCCAGACTTCAGCCGGAAGTCCGCCGCCCCCAGGGTACCGGCCGGGGGGCGTGGCTGGCGACCCCACGGCCCTCCCCTTCCGGCCCCAGGCCCCCCCTGGGCGCCGTCTCCCGGCAACCGCCCCAACAGCCGGTCCCGCAGCCATGCTGGGCGCAACCGGGCAGACCCCGCGGGCCTCGCCACCGCCGCTGCCGCCCGGCGCCCTCCGCGGCCTCTGCGCCTGGCTGGACGGGCTCCCGCTCAGCCGTCCCAAGCGCCACCTGGCCCGGGACTTCAGCGACGGCGGTGAGGGCCGGGGAGAAGCCGGGGACAGCCGGGGGTGCGGGCAGGGGGCTTGGAGGTGCCTGGCCGGCCGTCAGCAAGCTCCCCGAAAGGAAGGAAGACACCAGAGCGGGGGGCGTGACGGGCGCCGTGGAAGGGAGGGGCAGGACGGCTGCACTGCCGGCCCCTGGAGGATGATGAATGTGGCCGAGAGGGGCCGCCTTTTGGGGGGAGGTCCCCTCGCCTTTCAGCATTCCTGGGGGAGGATGGGGGCAGCCTCAGGGTTCCCTCCAGCAGCTCCTCCGACCTCAGGCCGGCTCCTAGCCCGCCCCCCTGGGGCACCCACACCCTGCTCCGGAGGCCCCTGTGACCGCTCCCCCAGGTCGAGGGCCCTCCCCGGTTCTCCTGCCATGGGAGACGGATGTGTAAGGAAAGGAGGGGCGCTAAGCTCTTCAGGCCAGCCCACCTTGCACCCCCTGCCCCCTCCAGTGATGCTGGCAGAGATTGTGAAGCACTTCCGCCCCCAGCTTGTGGACCTGCATAACTATGTCCCCACCTGCAACACTGACCAGAAACTCAGCAACTGGAGCATCCTCAACAGGCAGGCTTCCCACCTCCCTGCCTGTCCCATCGGAGCCCCCGCGCGCTGCTCTGCGAGGGCCCTCCCCTCAAGGCTGGCCTGGGTGGGCCGCCTCTCCCCTACCCTCCTGGGCTCTGGGACAAGCTCTCAGCACAGACTCCCGGGGGCTTCCGGCCAAGAGGACTTGGCCGGCACCAGTCAGCTCGAGAGCCACTCAGCAGGGCGTCAGTCAGGCTGGTGCTGACCACACCTCTCACTTCCTGACTCGGCAGAAATTGCGGGTGGACGGCTGGCTCTGCTCCAGGCACTGGAGACACTGAAGTGAATGGGCCCCTGTCTCCATGGGGCTGGCAGTACAGTGGGGAGACAGATAAATAAGGAGATGTAACCAGCATCAGTTGTAACGAGTGATATGAAGGACCAGGACCCTGAGAAAATGAGAGCAGAGTGAGGTGTGGGTGACCTAGGGGTGCAGTGGGGAGCAGGCTGCAGAGTCCCTTAGCCCCTGAGGCTGGACGGGGAGGGGAGCTCAGGCTTCCCCGGAGACTCTGGAGGCCAAGGCCACCACCTGGCTCAGACCTGGCTCGGAGCCTGGAGGGCTAGAGGGAGCACAGGGCTGAGACCTGGGCAGATTCTGCTGGGATGGGGAGGCAGGGAGAGGCCGCTGCTCAACTCCAGGGACACAAGAGGTCGGTGGCTCTAGCAGTGTGTGTCACGTCCCAATTCTGAGCACCTTGGAGGGGAACCAGCAGGACCTCCTCACGGGGCCAGGGGGCACTCAGCCCAGAAGGCCAGCCCTGCTGCGAGGCCCAGGCTGGGACACACCTGGCCTGACTGCTCTGGTCCCAGAGGGGACAGCTGGGGACAAGATGGCTGCTGGACTCCTCTGGGTGCAAGGCAAGAAGGGGCTCTGGTCCCAGCCTCTCCCCTCCAAGGAAAGCCAGATCCCCTGCCTGGCCCTACAGGTGCAACCCTGAGGGCTGTGGCCCCACTTCCTTCGCAGGAAAGTCTTTCACAAGCTGCGTTTGTGGGTCTCAGAGACGGATATCCGAAAGGTGGTGGCCAACACGCCGGGAGCCATCGAGCCCATCTTGTGTGCAGTGAGAGAAAAAGTGACGGATGGTGCTGCCCACCAGTGCCTGCTTGACCCAGCCGTACGTGTTGGTACCTTTGTATGGTCTCCGACCCTGCTGTGTTTGTCGTGCTGGGATGTGACCCAGTTATCTGTCATGATAGTAAAATCAGGAACCAGGTGGTGATGAAGGCCCTGGTCCCCACGGCCCTGGCCTGCAGACCACAGATACCTGCAACCCTCTGGAGCCCTCAGGCCTCTTCCAGCCTCACCCACTAGGGCCGTGATAACTCCCTGTGCAGAATCTCTCCCGCCCAGGCCAGCCCAGCCCGGGCTCTCTCCACTCCTGTTTGCCACCCCCGACCCCCAGTCTGAACAAGGTCAGCCTCTCCTCGGCCTGCCCTTACCATAGACCTTTAAAATGTTTGCAGGGCCCAGGACCCTCTGGCGGGATTGCTGACAGACCACGGGCAGAGCTCACCGCCTCTCCGCACACTGGTAGTATTCCACATCCCCAGATTTGGAGAACTGAGGCCCATCAGAGCCTTCCACGAAGGGCTGCGTCAGAGATGAGTTCACACTCCGGGAAGGCAGGGGCATCCTTGCTCCCAACGCCCCCCAGGCTGCAGCTTCCCAAGGGGGCCCGCAGCCCTGTCTACACCCCGCTCAGGTGCCACGCCGTTCAGGGACATCCAGGCTGCATCTGGCTGAACTAGGCCAGACCGTGCCTGCATGGTGCCCTCTGGGGCTCAGTGCCCTGCCCCCACCCCACGTTCTGCCATGGGGCAGGATCTTCTGGGGGAAGGGGGGCGGACCCCAGATAAACATCTGCTTACCCCTTAGGCTTGCCGGGCCCCACGGCGCCCTCCAGTGCGAAGACCCCACAGAGTCCGAGGACTCCAGAGAAAACAGGTCGCTGTGTGTGCACGGGGTAGGCCCCTGTCTCTTGACCTGTCTGCTGTTCCACCTTTACCCCACCCCCCCACCCCCAGCCTGTGGGTTAAAGGCTGGGTGTTTGCCTTCTAGTTGGGACCCAGCTGGTGGACCCTGGGGGCACCTGGACTCCAGAGTGCAGCAACTACTGGAGGAGAAGGAGCAGGCACTGGCCCTCCTGCAGGAGATGGTCAAGGTACAGGGACCTGGGTGCCCCACGATGCCCAGATACCCCCCAGGAAGGGGAGGGACTGGCTGTAAGCGTTCTGGGGAGGTGCTGCCCCCACCCCCGCCTTCTCGAAACTTGGACTCAGTGTGAAGTTTGGCAGTGCTGGGAGAACATGCATGTAGTTTTATTGTCTAGAACACAGCTTAATTATGGAACGTTCCAAACATACCCAGAAGCGCAGAGGAGTATGGTGGACCTCCAGCCCCCTATGACTTGCCGCCCAGCCCTGCCGGTCACCAGCCCTCAGAGCCCACAGGGTGCCACCACCCAGTCACAGGTGCCACCACCCAGAAGTGCTGGATCGCAGGCCCAGGGTCTGGGGGCACTGAGTCAGGTAGTAGGGCTGAGTCAGTGCAGGGCTGGTGGGAGGTGTGCAGGCCGCCCCAGTCGGGTCTCAGCGTGAAAGGGGCTGTCAGGAGTTGTGAAGACAGCGCAGTTCCCTAGCGGATGCCCAAATGTTGATGAGCTGTTTTCTTGAGGAAGCAGGAAGGTGATATCATCGTGCGGTTTGAGTTTGCCAAAGGGCAGCAGAGAGGGAAGTGATAAGCAGAAATGAAGCTGCTGCCGCGGTGAGGTCACCCTCGTGCCCACACCCATGGCAATGGGTGGCAATGGTGGATCCTGACTGCCGCGCTGTAGGGCGCCTGGAGGGAAGGTGGCTGCACTCGGCACGGTTGGACGCTGTCCCCGTGAGAGAGAGTAGACTCGGGGTGGGGGGTGCGGGGGGTCCTGGGAGCGGCAGCTGTGGGGCCGGCAGGAGCCCCCCCGTGTCAGCTGGAGCAGGACGTCCGTCACAGTGGACTGCGCTAGTCCGCGTGTGGCCCGGTGTCGGTGTGGGGCCACCGTGGCCAGCCGCAGGGGATGATGGCGTGCCGCGGCGTGCCGGCCCACGCTGTCCAGTGAGCAGGGAAGGGACTCGTCGGCTGAGACGCCAGCTGCCCGCCTTGACCGGCTGGAGCCATCTGTCCTTAGTTGGGGCATGGGCTGTCACGCCGTTGACCTCACTTTGGAGTTCGGGGGCAGACATGGTTTTTCACGTCCAGCTATTTCCTTTTTCTGGGCTGCTCGGGCAGGGTCTGTGCTTCCAGCAGGGAAGATCTGTGATGTGGCTCGAGAGGGCACCCCAGGCAGGACAGCCTGGGGAGGGGGTGTGGAGCCTGGTGCTTCCTCCTGCACGAACACGCGCCCGAGAACGTTTTCTTGGCGATTTCTTGTTTTTTCAACTTATTTATTTTTTAAGTTTTATTTATTTAAGTAACTCTGCACCCAGTGTGGGACTCGAACTCATGAACCTGAGATCAAGAGTCACCTGTTCTTCTGAGTGAGCCAGCCAGTCACCCTTAGGCTCTTAACATTTATTTATTTATTTATTTATTTATTTATTTATTTATTTATGAGAGAGAGAGAGCGCACAAGGAGAGGGGGGCAGGACACAGGATCCAAAGCGGGCTCTGCGCTGACAGCAGCGAGCCCCACGTGGGGCTCGAACTTATGAACCGTGAGATCATGACCTGAGCTGAAGGCAGAGCTCAGCCGGCGGAGCCCCTCAGGTGCCCCTGGCTGTTAACTTGTAGAAATAAACGTTGCACACGCTCCCCAGATGCAGTGCATACATTCGGTCAACATTAATTCCACAAGCATGCCCTGAAAACCTGCCAGGGGACCAGGCAAGGCTTTTCCATTTGCAGAGGGGACAGGCTGGGGGGCTCCAAGAGGCCTTGCCAGCTCTGGCCAGCCGGGAGCCAGGAGTGCTCCAGAAAGGGTGAGGCAGGAAAACCAGCCCCTCCCATAACCACCCCCCTTCTTCTCACGTCCCGCCCTCCCTCACGCTGTTGCTACTGCTGGGAGCCCCCGAACGCTTGGCCACCCAGCTCTGGCACCCAGCGTGCTGCTTTCGGAGACGTGTGCTTTCCTGAAGATTTTGCAGATGAAGGTGGTCAGGCTGGAGCACCTGGTAAAGCTGAAGGACCAGCGGATTGGAGAGCTGACGAGAGCTGGGGGCGAGCCCCAGTGACCAAGTGTGGCAGCGGAGAAAGGCTCCTCCGAGAGGCTCGAGGGGCCACCCCTCCCAAGTCCACCAGACCTTGAACTTGAGCCCACACAGAACTCCCCCAGACCAGGGGTCCTTCTGCTTGTGGCTGTGCGCTGTCCAGCAGGCGCAGGGCGGGGACACCCATGTACAGAGTGCTTCAGGGGGCCTCGGTGTGTGGACGTCCACGCAGTGGAGGCCGGGGGTTCCAGCCCACCCCAGAGACCTGTTTGGATATGAAGACCTGGTCTCGTTCCCTTGAGCCCCTGAGGTGTCCTGTCCTCATTGTGTCTGTGAGCACAGAAAGTTCCGGTCTGTAGGGTGTTGCGTTGGTGTAGTGGCAGGGGAGGGGGGTGGCTGGGCCAGCCAGCAACATCCTGTGTCAGCCAAACCCAAGTCTCATGGAAGATTCTGGATCCTGCAGAAACAGCACACTGGGAAGTGTGTCCCTGGGTTCAGTCCTTTTTCTCCACGAAGGGAGCACATGAGTGTCGGGAAGGGCCATCCGAGCCGCTGTGCAGGCACTGGGTCGGGGTGCCTTGCAGAGACCCCCGGATGGACCGACCGGTTTCTGCACTTTGCTTGGGAGAGTTTGGGGGTCAGGGTGGAGCTGGAACTTGACCCAGCATCGCTGTGGCCTTCTCCCCATGGGATAGACCCGCTTCCTCCACGTGGGGCCCTGTCCCTGGGTCGGGGACTTCGGGGCAGTACGCTGGAGGGGACAGGCAGGGGGTTGCATTGTCCCGCCGGCTTCTGGGTCCCGAGCCCCTTCGGGGACTCAGGAAGCTGCGTCAAAGCCACAAACCACCTCCAGGGGTTGAGAGTCAGCAGAGCCCTGAGTCAGACAGCCCATGCCTCCCTGAGTCAGACAGCGTGTCTCTCGGCCTCTGAAGCCACTGAAGCACGCACGGGTCAGGGCTTCAGGCTCAGAGGGTGGGTCCGAGGCTACTGTCGAGAGAACTGGGGCTAAACTGCTTAGAAGCACAACTGAGGCCAAGGATTTGCTCCCCAGCCAGGAGGCACATGGAGACTCCTGGGTCAAGTGGTCTTGGCCAGCAACCAGGGCCCCAAGGTGGGCTGGGGCAGTGAGGGGTTGGGGGGCATACATCCAGGAGGGGAGCCATTCTGGAAGAGCCCTCCACTGCCAGAAGGGCCTGGGAGTGGCGGTCTCGGAGGTCTCCCGTGCAGCCTGCCCCTGGAGAACGAGGGTTTGGGGGGGTCCAGGCCTCAAGTAGTAGGGCTTCTAGACCTCAGTGTGGGGGCGTTCACAGCTCAGTTGGGGGGGGGGGGCTTCTGCTCAAGGGTCCAGACCCCACCACTTGTGGGCATCTGGGCTACAGATGTCACTTGCTTGTTCCTGGTGTCCGGCAGGAGCCAGAAAATCTGCCCAGAGATGGGGGCTCCCAGGGCCTGGAGCCTGAGTCAGGACGGGCCCAGGTGGCTTTAGACCCCAGGCCTACTCCTGCCCGGGCCCCTGCGGGAGCCAGGATGTGTGTGTGGGGGGGGTGCTTCTGCACTCTGCTGCTTCGAGGGGACAGCGGGGGGACTGCCGATGTGCTCCAGGGCCCAGACGTGTGCGGACACGTGCTCACTCATGAGGCTGGTCCTTTGATGAAGCAGGGCTGTGTGTGTGCCTGGTCACACCCACATGCTCACCGGTAGAGGTGGCCCCAAGGGCTCGAGACGGAGATTGGAGCCGGGGGAGCGTGGCTGGAGGTGACGGTTTTGCCCTGACGGGAACCTGTCCCCCGCAGGGACCTGGGAGTGGGCCCTGAGCATCTGGTGCCTGGAGGTGGGGGCCGCTTGCAGATGAGGACCCCAAACACAGGCCCAGCTTGCTGGCCTGCAGATGGGCTTGTGGGCTGGACCTCTGCTGCAGCCTCGAGAGGGTCAGCCCCACGGCTGAGGGGAGAGGCAGGGGGCTGACCAGGGGCCAGGGGGGCACAAGGCAGGGAGACCTCTGGGTGGGGAGTGAGGGCCCCACCCTGGCTGAAGGAACAGCTCAGCCTTGTGCCACCAGTGCAGGCTGAACCACCTGAGGTGAGGGTCCGGGTTCCCAGGGGCACATCGGGCCAGATCTCTGGAGGGCCTGTACAAGGCCACCCTCTGGCTTAGCCCAGCTCCTGGAGGGACACCCTTCCCCCACCACGTACACCCCGGACAGCAGACCTAGTGGACAGGTTGACGGGTTCCGGCAGTAGGTTCTGAGTTCCTCGCTGTGGGTGGAGCTGACTCAGGCCTGGGCCGGACAGTGATGGGGGAAGCTGTGAAGCCAGGACCTCGGGTTCCACTCGCCCCTCCAGCCTGTGTTGGGTCCTGGGCTACCACGTATGGGAAGCCCTTCCCCAGCAAAGACCCCCCCAAACTGGAGCTCCAGTGAGGGCACCCTTGGGGGCTCCCTCTGGTTCGGCAGCACCCATGATCTCGGGTGGCTGTGATGTCACAGGACTTCCTGTGACCAGCTTGCGTCTCTTCTGTGGGGTTGGGGTGTCGTCCAAGGTACTCCACGTGGGCCCCCAGGTCTGGAGGTGGGGTGGGGGTGGAGCCCCTGCAGAGAGCAGACCACCTGTTCCCGCTCAGGCCCTCCCCGGTGAGCTTGTGGCTGGGGGAGCAGGTGCTGGAGGTGATGGGAGGTGCCATAGGCTGCAGAGCTGGGGGCTCCCTTAGGGCCTGCGCCAAGCTGATGACAAGTGAAACATGAGGGCGCCGCTGTGGGTCCCCCCACCCCATTCTGTTTCCCCGGGTCCCTAGAGCAACCTCATGGTCAGGCCAGCACAACATAGCCCCAAGAGGCTTCTGGATCCTTCTGTGGGGAGGTAGGACCCTAGCACAGTGCCACAACTCCCTCTGAGGGTCCCCATCCCAGTTCTGGAGGCCCCCACCCAGGCCACAGGGTACTCCCCAGAGGACCACAGGGCTCTCAGGACCTGGGGTCTGAGCTGCCGGTCGGATACGGGCACACACACCTTGGGGGCTGCCGCAGAGGGCCAGCAAGATGGGACGCGGCTGTCGTGCATGGCTGTGCTGTGGGCTCCCACCTGGGTCTGCAGCCCCGCCAGGAAGCGGAGGTGACCTGTGGCCTCACTGTCGGCTGCTCACCGTGGCTCAAGGCAACGGCCTGGATGAGCCACAACTCCAAGGAGCCGTGTGGAAAGCCTGGCCGTGACGCCTTGATGACGAAACAGGCTGTGTGATAAACGTCATGCGTGAGTGACACCAGCCAGGTGCCGTTTCCCGTGTAGCCCTAGAAAGGACCGAGCCTGGGGTAAATTTAGGACAAAACTGGAAGCCAGGTCAGCCCCACCCTGCAGCTGCTCTGTGTCTAGTTCACGGTTTCACTGCTGAAGCAGAGAGCAGAGAACCGTCCACGCCCCCACGCGCGCAGGTGGCCTCCTCGAGGCCCAGACGCCATCAGGTACCAATGCTTCCAGTTATTCCTGTGTCAGGTCAGACGCACCTGACACGGAAAGTGCTAGAACCAAGTGAGTGCCCGCGAGAAGGGATCCAAGGTAACAAACGCCTTCATCTCTGTGTCCAAAGATGACGCAGAGCAAGGGGGCTTCGGTGGTCTGAGTGCAGAACCTCCGGCGCGTCCCCTCTCGGGTCAGGTCCCCTCCCACAGCACCTCCCGGGGCAGCGGGTTCCGGGCCCAGAGGCGGTCCGGCTGAGCCGCTCCCCTCACTAGCCCCGGAGTCCCGCACACGCAGACCCAGGGTCTGGCCACGGGCTCCCAGCATTCCTAGTTGAGAGATTTAGGTCACTCCAGCTCTGTCCTGGACGAACCGTGCACACCACAAACAGTCATCTGAGAACGAACAAGAAGTTTAAAAGGAGTGCCACTGGGCGCCCCCTGCCTGGACAGCAGGAGGTAGACCTCGGGAGGGCGGAGATTCGTTTGGCAGGTCTTCCTGCGTGTGTGAAATATTTCGTAACTGTTAACACTCTTAAAGGGAAACGCCTAGGATGCACAGAGGTGTACGTGCGAACTGGAGGTCAGGAACCCACCGCACGGACAGCTGAGTGTGCAGCCGGGCGTCGCTGCGTGGCACTGACCCGCCCCTGCCTGGCGTCAGCCAAGATCGGGGGTGGCTTGAGTTTCCCCAGCCCACTTCCTCATTCGTAAAATGGGGAAGTGCAGGTTCCACTGGGCGGGGTGCCCCGCCACCTGCACTGCCCCACTCCCAGCCCCCATGGGCCGGCCCAGGGGTGCCCCCATGTGGTCAGTGTGGAGATCATGCCTTGCTGACGCTTAAAAATGGGCCATAGGCTGGTAGGGTTTGTAAACACCTGCAGCTCTGGGCTTTGTTGGCCTGCATGCCTGGCCTTCCCATCGCCTTCCCGGGTCAGCCAGAGACCGGAGAGGAGAGGTCGCCGATGCCTGAAGGAGGTCGGTGGAGCGGGTGGTGGGAGCCCCCGTGTGGACAGATACCCCCACAGACTGCATGGCCTGCACTCCAGGGGAGCCCCCTGCCCACCCGCTGCCTTCTGCCTGCTCATGAGTGTATATTTTCATAAATTTTGAAACAATGAATCCAACTTTCTCATCCTCTTGAACACAGGGTTCCTTCCCAGATGTGTTTTTTGAGTGAGTGCCGGAGGCTGGGGAGGCACTGGACAGGGTGCTGTGGGAGACACGCCTGGACGGGGCGGGGTGGGGGGGAGCAGGGGCTGCAAAGCTCCTTTTTCCTGCAAAAACCCTCTCCCTGCTGGCTCTGTTCCAGTCCAAGCCCTCCACCCGCACCCTTGTGGCTCTGGTCCTCCAGCGGCAGAGGGGGCTGCAGGCAGGAAGGCGGGGGTACCAACCAGAAACAGAGCAGGGACCAGGAAATAATCAAAACAGGGCATTGCAGAGGGGGTGGCCAGGGAAGCCCACTAAGACTATAAAGAAAATGTGGGTGTTGGTGGTTCACACAGGGGAGCAGAGGTACGGAGGCCCCGGAGAACCGGGGTCAGGGGGCTCATGACCTATAGCCTGCGGGCGAGTG